TACTCTTCCTGCTGTGACCAGAGACTACGAAATTAATTATACTTCGTAATTACTCTCAAGAATATGCTCCGAATAAAGATAAGAGCCATGAAGTTTCAAATCACTGGGTTTCGGAATTCAGAGCTTATTACACAACGGAGTATGAACCTGGGAAATCCCCGTCAATGCTTGGAAACAATGCGAATAACAGTTATCTGACAACCCACCTGCAAAATGTAATACACGACAATACTGAAATTTTCTCCGAAATTCCTCGTAGAACGTCTAGTCAAGCGGTAGTGTGCGCGGGCTTATGGGGTAACAGAAGTGTAGCATGTTACAAGTTAGGAAGACCCACTTACTTAGGATTGACGAAAATCAATGTATCAGAAAATAATACAAAATATATTATCGGAACACGAATCAAATAATGCAGGATACTTCGTGAGAGAGACAGACTTCAAGTTGAACACTAACCACTATCTTGCCAACTCTGGTAGCAGAACTCTAAGATTCAGCAAAGGTAATATGAAATCCCGGCACTGGAGAAGATCCCGAGTCAGTTAAAACCTCACGCCACCCGCACAGCTTGTTTTCACACGATCCTTGTTCATGTTATCCTGCATCTCGTAATCGATCTCCCAAGGACGTTCTCCAAGAGGTCCCATTCCATCATTCTGTATGAACTGCTTCTGCCCTGGCTCCATATGGGCAACATCACAGTTTCCTAAATTTTATTTCCTAGCTATGCAATGTGGCCTGAATAACCTACGAATTTCCTGGCCATGTAATTTATACTGTCGGTCTGTTGTTTCCATGGGAACCAAATGCAAAAATGGATCTCAGTTCCAATAGAATCAGCAATGGCAGCAATGAAGGAAGAGCATCTGCGTCAGAATTACAGCGTCGCCCTGTGCCGAGAGCAACGTACGTCTACACTACTAGGCCCGTAGTTATGTTTATGGAGTCGTCTTTTTTAAAAACTTCTCAAATTCATAACCTGTATATATCACTAGCCAGTCACGGTAGCCGGGCTGTCTAAGGCATGCACTGTCTTCGCTCGCTCGGAAGCCGGGATCGTGGGTTATAATCCCACTCAGGGCATGGATGTTTGGTATCTGTGCGTGTATGTGCGTTTTCTGTGTTTGTGTACAGGTAGAGGCCTTGAGACGAGCTGATCACCCGCCCAAGGAGTCCCACCGAATGTCTAAGATCTTGTACACCGAAGTGAAACGGAGAGCTTCGTGGAGGTAGTCCAAGGCCCTAATTGGGGCTGTAGCGTCAAAGAAGAAGAAGAAGAAGAAAAGAATTTATCACCTGTATTACGTAAGAGTGAATCAATGAAATGGTTATCTCTGGACATCGCGACTCTAGATGTGAAACTGTTAAATTTTCAACGGGCGTTCTAATAGATGGCGCATCCTACACAGGGCCAATATATATTTTTATGAAACTCTTCACGAACAACTCAATGGCTCAACTTGTTTGATTATATCGTAGTCNTTACAAACCCTCCACGCACAACCCACTCGTCTAAACTTTTTTGTTTTATGGGTGTTTGGGGGGGGGGGGGAAGTCACGTTCAGTACAATTCCTTCCAACCTTTCCTTATTTCCATCGTCATTAAATGATAGAACTGTCTTCTGTGATATAACGCGTGGCAATACTCCACTGGAATGTGAACTTAAAATAAATAAATAAATAAAAAAGCGTGTACCAAAACGTGTTACATTATCTGGAACGGATAAGGAGGTCAGTCTGCTGTTACTCCGGGCAGACACATGTGCCCAGTGAGTTTCGACATTAGCCTGTGTAGAATGTAGTAACTACAGCGGTGGGCAACATCAAATACTACATCCAATTCTTGGTGGGCCATTGCATACTTGGCGACCGTATCCGCTATAATTAGACATGGTCAACAACATGGCACTTCTCATAGCTCGGCGCGTGTTCTTTGGACACAAATCACAGATGGTTTTAAAAAAAATATGACGTTAGGAATGTGACCTAAATAACCAACATTATTGCCAAACAGGAAATATAAACAATACAGTAGTCCTACTGCCACTGAATCCTTTACTCAAAATAAAATTCGGCGAAAATATTCCTACGATGAACAACATTAAATACTGAGCGTGCAATGTTCCCGACTACATTCTGATAAACACGACAGCCATCTTTATTTTCATGTGAAAAACTGACGCACCGCAACCGTTACCTACTTCTGTACATGGAGAGTATTAAATGCTCTGAGTGTGACACTGGGATTTAATTCAGTTTACAGATTCATGTTACGAGTGGGGGCAAGGCAACTGGTTCTTATTCTGCAGAAACACGGTTTTACTCACGACTGTAAAGAGACAAACCTGAGGTGTTCTTCCAATCAAAGAACATGACATGATAATTTTCTTAAAATAGTCCACGACTGTACCCTTGTACGTCTCCCACCCCGAAATGTATTAATTACAATCATAAGAGAAGGGAGAGGTCAATTAGCAAAGTAACTGTCAGCCGACCGAACGACCGGGGTTTGATTCAGAGGAACAACGATTCTTCTTCCTAACACGTCCAGGTAGATTATGAGTTTCATTCATCCTCCCGTCTAATGGGCACGACGGGAAAGAACCAAGGGTATGAGACTGGCAATTCACATCCATCCAGAGTTGGGGCTAAGGAGAAGAGCTACACCTCAACTCCCCTACCTACCTACCAAACAAACAAACAAACAAACAAACAAACAAACAAACAAACTCAGTGGCCTGAAGTCAGCAAGCGAACTATACCGACCGAGCGACCGCCGCTTGTCGGCGTAGTTGGTATTATTGCTTTTAAAACTGCGTACTAATCAGGGGTATGTAGTTCCTTTCCCGCATTACTACATGTGGCGGTAATGTCTTGTTTGGTGGCTGGTGCTTATACGCTATGTGAATGAAAATAAAATACAGTTGATACTTAAGCAACTATGCAACAGTAAGCTTCAATATAAGGTGCTGGCACACCCACATATATAATAAACCGTCGCCTCATTGAGATATACTTAGAATTTGATGCTTTAATATGTGTACCACTGATATAAGTGGGAGCCGGGGTCGCGTAGTCAATATAGACTGGCTATGGGCTGGACGCCTGAGGGGTCGGAATTGAGTCCCGGTAGGGTAAAGAATTTCTCTTCTCTACGTCGTTCAGACCGGCTCTGGGCCCCACCCAGCCTCCTATCCAACGGGTACCGGGGGCTCTTTGCCTGGGGATGAAGCGGCCGGGGTGTGAAACTGACCGCTCACATCCAACTAGTGCCGAGGTCAAGAAAATGTGGATCTATATATCCATTCCACCATACGCCTTCATGACGCAGTGCTTAATTAGTTAAGCAATGGGACTATATGCCATATAGTCTTACCGGGTAATCAAATGAACATTAATCCACGCCAGGTGACACCGATCGGTCGATAAAATTTTCTCACAAGTCCGAATGTAAGTCACGCCGACTTGTTCGGAGCAGTTACAGAACAGCAAGTCGTCCATAGTTCCACTCTCCACTCTCCACTCTCCACTCACGCTTTTCAGGGCACTGCAAGTAGCTATAATATGCTCAAATTCATTTCTTTTAAGATGGGCCGGCCCTGATGGGGATCCCTTACGTTTTTTAAGTATGTCAGGGAACCCGAACCATACAAAGTGGAGGTCCCAACGTTGACTCTGACCGCACCACATCCGATTCTCCACGTTGAAACTCAGCAAATGCTGAAATACAGCAGGACCACGTGTCGATATTACAGTCTGAAGAATTCTCGTAAGAGAAAACAGGCATTTCAAAATCAGATATTAAGAGAGTGGAAAAATAATACAGAGAAACGAAACAAAGTATGTCTTACGGATAACACTTTTAAAATTTCTTACTTTGTATGTATTAATATAATTTATATTTGGCAGGCTACAACACTTCACTGGGACTGACAAGCAATCTCGCTTTGAATTTGCTACAGTGACAGGAATATGAAAAGAATTATCTCAGAAATATCCTATTATATTACGACGCAACCTCCACGGGACAGATATTACAGACATAACAGCCTAATGTGTGGTAACAGACCACCCTAAGGAGAACTGCATCATGAAAGAGCCATTTCTAAAGCGAATGTACGGAAATAACTCATACAACGTAAAATGATGGGTCCGTCTTTCTTCTCAGAATATAATGAACAGTAATTCGTATCTGCATATGCTAAAAAATTACGCTTCCGCACAATTTGAATAACATGCTAAAATCGTTTCCCACCCCAAATATTTTTTATTGCTAGTGGGGTGGGACTAAGTCCCTTGTACTGCGGCCACTTCTGGCCTATTGTACCAGCCCCAGATGATAGGTGAGGGTGATTGTGGAGCAATTGGTGGAATGAAGATTGGCAGGGGAAACCGAAGTACTCGGAGAAAACCTACGCCAGCGCCACTTTGTCCACCACAAATCCCACCTGACCAGACCCGGGATCGAACCCGGGCCGCCGCGGTGGGAAGGCAGTGATTAACCGCTTGAGCTATGGCGCGAACATGCCACCCCCAATATCTCGGCAATTTCTTGGGGCAGTTACTAACTGCTGAAATTTGGGTAGAGATGGACAAATTTCTTGGCCTGCCCGTTCACCAGAGCTCATCGATTACATTATTGAGTCTGTTTGCGAGGAAGGGGTTTTGTAGAGGACAAAATGTACGATTCAAGAAGTCGCTACAAAAGTTTAAAGATAACTGTTTAGTTACCCAAGATACGACGAAACGCAAATAGCAGTAACTGAAATACAACCTGGATTTATGTCGAGCTACAGACGAAGCTCATACCAAAATAATACTCGTACACCCAAAGCGGAACAAAAATTGTGCCATTCTTTTATAGATCATAACTGCTTTGGCTGGCCTCTATTACCGCATTCAACAGATCTCTGACTCTGAAATATCCGTAGACGTTCTGTTCCTCAGGATGTCATCGAGTCTGAAAGAAAATTTAAAACAATATTTTAAGCAGTACTCACCAGAATCGTGGTCCGCCGCCGCTCGTCTGGAGGGAGAGGTTTTGAGGCCCGGTGGTGGCTGTTTCAGCACAGCAAGAGGTACAAGACCTTCAGGTGGGGAGTCGACTGACGAACCGGAGGTGGGCATACGGACCAGGCACCAGTCTGGTGTTGCTGTATTCAGCTCCAACACCTCCACCTGCTGCCCCTTGTGGACACTGAGCTCCTGGCTACCCGCAGCCGCCACGTGATCTGCGATCACCCACGTCATCTCCACACCGGGTGCCTGCAAAGGACAACAGAGATTCTTCGCTTATCCGAGAAATTCTCTTAAAAGTCACCATCAATAAGCTGGGCGGCGAGAAAGTTATTTTCTGGTTTTGATTTCCATTTAGATCACGGAAGCAACATATACCACAACAATTTCTGCGTTCTACTTTACGATCAAATACATAGCGGGCGCATGAAGGGACAGTCGAACGTAAGGACATGCAATTATCCATGTGGCATAGGGCGGAGTTCAATGACCAGTTCTGTGAATAGGGTAATAAACCTCCGGGTTCTGAAAAACATGGAATATTTGTTAAACTAGTCGAGCGACTATGGGCAGGCGATAGTGCAGCTGATTGAGGCACTACGCTACAACTTGGGAGGTCGTATGTTCGGCTCCCATCGAAGTCACTGGATTTTTCAATTGACTTAATCCTTCCAGCCGCACTATGACCCTGGGATCGACTTAGCCTCTAACGGAAATGAGTACGAGGAATCTTCCTGGTGGGTGAAGGGTGGCTGATAACTTCACCGCCATCCGTGAGTCGATATTCCTTTTTACCTTACATGAACGACTATTAACTTCTCACGAAGAAATACATTAACATATACTTTAAAGACATAGGATATGAGACCGCTGAGTGGATTCAACTAGCTCAGAGACCTGTGGTGGGTTCTTGAGAAAAAAGTAATTAACTTTCAGGTTGTAAGATTTGAGGCTTTCACGGCGGTGACTATGAAGAAAACAGTCTTCTGGGATTTGGCACCGTGTATATGTGGTGTTAACCGACGTTTCGGAGGAACGTATCGCCCCCATCTTCAGGGTTGAAGAAAAAGTTTAAGAAATCTGCAAGCGACAACACCGTGAGAAACGGTAAAGCAGACTGCTTGCAGATTTCTTAAACTTTTTCTTCAACCCTGAAGATGGGGGCGATACGTTCCTCCGAAACGTCGGTTAACACCACATATACACGGTGCCAAATCCCAGAAGACTGCTTTCTTCAACTTTCAGGTTCCGTAACAAGTATAAAACTCTTGGCCAACTGGGAGAATATTAGCCTCTCAATAAGGAATCTTCTGCATGGGCTTAGTTTGTTGGCTGCAACTGGTTAAAGCAACAGCTCGTGTTTGACAAACATATACCTAACGCAACTCTCTTAAATGTTTCAGTCTTCATTTATTTGAAAATAGCGGGAACGGCACAGTTTTTGAGCTGAAGACAGACAAGCATTTTCCGAAAATGCTTCCTGTAAGGCCGCTTCGCGGTCGTCGAAATCTTATTTAAATTTGTCTACTGCTCAATTCTGGTTCATTTATGGTTAGTAACTTTCTGAGGCCTGAGAAAGTTGCGGAACTTTTTTTTTTCTGTAGCAATTCCATCTTGGTTTCTGGTCTTCCCACCGTGATTTTTCTATTCTAAAAGTGTTAAAACAGACTCAGCACAAAATTCTTATCTTACAATTACGATCTTCTGGGATGTGAATCAAAATATACTCGTCGGCACTACAGAAAAAGGCGCAAATCCCGCAAGACCGCTGTCTTCACTTTCACTACCGTAAGATACTCTGATTCCATTTATTTTCAGCTGTTGGAGACAATTTACGAATTCAGGTAGAGTACGGTGAATTCGGGCATTGCCGGACTTCAAAACCTCTTTGCACAGGGAACGCGGGATGGAAGCTTGGCACAGGAAGACACACCCGTAGCCTTAACACGCACTTCCGCAACAGCTCTCCTACTGCATAGACTTCAAGTCCGACAGGTTTATTGCTCTGTTATCATTGTCATTTTGTTTTACGTTACGTTAAGTCGGGATAGCGACTGGCTACGGGCTGGACGATCGAGGTGTCGGAGTTCGAGTCATGGTGGGGTCAAGAATTTTCTCTTCTCCACGTCGAACAGACCGGCTCTGGGGCCTATCCAGCCCCCTATCCAGTGAGTACCGGGGGTTCTTTCCAGCACCAGTGCTCCATTAATCATTGCTACCAAACCGGGAATACAAATGTTGGTATGAAGACGTTATGTTACATAAATTTTACACTTTTTAGAAAAAAAAAACAAGAACTTTGCATATTATCAAAAAATATACTAGTATTATCGTACATTATTTCAGACACTATACACGTATAAACGGTCACTAATGAAGCAGCACCCACCTCACAAGTTCGCATGTCCATGACGTTGTTCGAAATCAATACCCGTGGTGCTGGGGTGGCCTCTAATACCATAAGTTTACACCAAGCTTCGCGAAAATCGGTAAACTGTTTACAAAGTTGAAAAGGGGAATACACAGACGCACAAAACATGGTGATTTCACATCTGGATTTTCCTTAACGAAGATACTAAAAAGAGCTAAGAAGATAAATGACGTGAAAGGTTGCTCAGTAGGCCTGAATAAGCACAAGGAAAGTAGACATGTTACAATGAATACTTTGAAGTCTGCAAATAAAGCCTGTCGGAAATTACTTTTTGAAGCATTAACTTTATGCTTAAAGTTGACAAAAGTTTAAATTAATACCAGGAAGTGGCAGAACGTTTCTTTCGAGCACCCATGGGTGTGGAACGGATTCATGTAGCCGAGGATAGGGTTCAGTGTTCCGCTCTGGAGGACTTCAGAAAGTAGTTCTCAGTCTTACTTACTTACTTACTCATGAAGCTGAGCCCTTCTTGAGTAGCCGCAATTCTGCAGCTACTCAAGAATTTCCCAGCATTTTATGGAACCAGAAGGTTCATTACCGTGTTCACAACAGCCCTCCACTGGTCCCTATCCTGAGCCAGATCAATCCAATCAATACCATCTCATCCCATCTCTCTAAGATCTATTTTAATATTGTCACGTGTTGGGTATATCACGCAACAAATAACTTTACGTGGGTCTCGGATTTAGCGAATCTTTATTGGAAACTCACACTTACACACCTTACAATTATTATCACTTGTGGTATCACGTGACTTCTGCGACATCTCGAATATCCTTGGCGGCGGCTATTCCAAGACTTCTTGCTGCCGTCGGTCTGTATTGTACGGCGACTACCTTCCAACAGTGTCCCTGTTCCGTGTGCAATTTCCACTAGCACGTTAGACTGCGCGTTTCCAATTTTTAACATCTACCAAGTTACTATAGGATTCTGACGATGGTGTATAACACACTGATATATTGGGTTTTTGGACTTTATCCATCGTCCTGGTTTTTAAGATAACTACCATATTTACGCATGTATAGGCCGCGCGCGTGTATAGGCCGCAGCACAATTTTCAGACAGAAATTATAGAAAAAATAATTTTCATGGAATATTATTTCAGGAGTATTACACCCTGTATTACTAATTATGAATATATTTTTTTTTAAATTAAGTGTGATTTCGAATATTTCGAATATAAGCCGCACCCCAGTTTTCCTCTTGAATTTTTGGCAAAAAATGTGCGGCCTATACATGCCTAAATACGGTAATAAAAACACGACGTTTCGGAAACTGGATCTGTTTCCGAAACGTCGTGTTTTTATTAGTTATCTTAGAAACCAGGACGATGGATAAAGTCCAAAAACCCAATATATCTACAAAGGCATTCATCCAGATTTTGTAGGCATGTTTGTTTTGCCTCCATAGAAAATGTCACATGCCTAGTTACATTTCTTCATTAGGTTTCGCAGTCAAACCGAAAATTAAGTGCAGCTTCCAGCTATCACATTCACCAAAAATGCTCAATCAAAAGCTACATATTCTTTTTATATCCCATATCATATACAGTTTCAAGATCCTACAGTGATGTACTAGGGTAGCTACCGTGTTACATGTTCGCATGGCCGCCATATTAATATTACTGATAGCATGAAATTGTAACATAATGGCACCAAGTTTCTCGGAATTTCTGGGATAGGATGCCATTCGAGGGGTGAGGGGGTACCACCACAACTGTGTCTATGGTTATATAGAGGTATACTGGGATAATAATGAAAATATCCATTAACACATTTTTGTTCTGGCCAAAAGGTCACTAATATTTTGCTGAAGAGAAAACAGAAAATGATTCTGCTAATGTCTTGTTGGCTGCCATTAAAACGTGTTTATAAGGCCGCTGCCTAGCAACGGCCTCTCTTCTGGTCCTGCTTCCCCGGCTTTATCAGACATGTCACATTATAATATTTGTACAGGACGCTTAACATTGCCACGTAACATGAAAGCTGAAATGAACCTTGAATTGTTAAAATATCCACCAAATGTCTCGATCCTACTTTCTAACATGACCTGCAGAACAAGACAACCACTGCGCCTTGTCAACCCATTTCGTCACATGCGAGATAATCGTAGAATTTGTCTTCCGCTTTCTTTAGTTCTCCACCAGAGGCATCACAATCACAGTTCCATCCACAACGAAGATTACGACATCCCGCCGCTAACCAACTTCCCTGCCATCTAGTGGCAAACGTTCGAATCATATCAACATTGGCTGTGACATCTAGCGGACCGGATGCGATAGTACATAAATTTTTCACTTGCGTCTTTGAAGGGAATTGCTTGTTATCGGAAGTTGTTAAGAGTCTAGAATTATATTTGGCACTGAAGAAAACTGTTCTAAAATAACATCTTTCCAAAGTTCTGCTGAACCCTTCGCAATATTCTGGTAGTGCGAAACGCACAGGAAGTTTCGCGTTGAGATAACAGATTATGCGCCCCACTTCAAAGAATTTCGAAACAGATGGCATTGAGAAAAATACGACAGGAAATGTCTATGCCCTTCAACTCATCTAAAGATATGGCGATATGGAGAACGGCACTGTTAGGAACTGTAGTTGGGTAAGGCAGGAAAACAATTCAATTTATCATCTTTTGAGATACGTTCTCCAATGCTCCCTTACTGTCCCTTCAAGTTTAGCTCTATCCGGACTCTTATCAAATGAAAAACTAAAACCTTGTCATTATCTGACCAAATCTACTACTACTACTTGAAAATCATACGAACTAAAATGTAACCCCCCCCGGCACATTGAAAAAATGAGTTATTTTGCTATCATCC